TACGCACAAAAACATCAAAATTAGCACAGAAACAGTACTATATAACATTTTAGACACATTCTAGACAGTTTATCAGCTAAAATAAGTCAATTTTGGGTTAAGTTACTCTTTAAGTGCACAGGCTAAAAAAATACAATAATACATGGGTCACTGCACTTACTGCATGCTTAATCTTTAAAAATAAAAGGACTTTACTTAAAAAGGTTTTGTATTTCATATAGTATACAGTATTATTGAAGTTGGCCCTCAGCCGTATGATAGATTTCCATTTTTGCCCTAAGAGGTTTGGGCACCCCGATGGGTTTTATGAAGCTCAGGATAAAACTTCACCATTAAACATGAATTAATCTATCTATCCATAAATCTATTATATTTACCTTCTTTTTCCATTCTGAAAAAGAATGGGGGGTCCCTGGAGCCCAGCAGATGGGGCAGGAGACACACTGGACAGGTTGCATGTCCTTTAACAGGGCCACATAGACACAAACAACCATTAACCAGCCAACTAACAACTAGAGACGGTTTAGTTAAACTAACCTAACAGTCACGTTTTTGGTATGTGGGAGGAAACCAGAGTAAACAGAGAAAACCTACGCATGCACAGAGACAACAACTCTACCAGCTGCACCACATTGCAGCCGATAAACTTCACAATCTGCCCAAGTGGATTCAGAATGACACATTTCTTACCAAAAGCAGGATTTTGTGTTGAGCTTTCAGACATTCAGGGACCTGCTGCTGTTATCAGATTATTTCTTCTGCACTCAGTGACTTAAAGTTTGGCTCTCAGAGAGAGGAACTTCATTTGTAATGTGGTCCACATGTAGACCAGAGATGGGTTTGTGAATGATTGGATTATCAAGGAGCTGGCTCATCTAAAATGAGCTCCAGAGGACAAAATGGTGACATCATGAGCGCAGTGAAAGTGTTATCAGGCAGTTGCTGGAACATAGAACTCACAGACAAAACAGTGAGGGGAGGTTTGCAGACAGATACAGCATATTAAACATTAACAGCCCTTACTGGACTCTTTATAAAACCTTGTTTTACTTCCTCCAGTGGGATAGGTAACAGCCACGAGTGACTTTAACCATTTCTTCACCTATTTTAACTTTCTTCACATAATCGTCTTGTAAGAAATACGTGTTCGATATGTTAAACCGTTCAAAACCCGTTTCTTACCGTCCGTCGTAGCTATAAGCGCTTGTTTTGTCAACGACCGCAAAGCTAACAAGCTATCATTGCCTACACTGGAACCTCCTTCAGCATAGCAATGCTAACACAGAAGCTAACAATTAGCGAGTCTGTTTCAACGCCCCAACACACAGACCACAACGGAGTAACCACGATCTGCACACAGTCCCGTTTTATTATCAATCTGGAAAGCAAAACTATTTTGTTCACCTGCGTCCGTGCGTGCAACGATGCGGCGGGTACCACGACAGGCCCGTGCTGAAAAGCGGCGTCAACACAGCGTAGCAGTCAACTGACCTGCAGCCGAACGTCGTGGGTCACCAAACTGTAAGAAATACATGTTTTAATATCGGCTGAAATCAGATGAAAACACAAGTGTTGAATAAAATGATCTGTGATAAGAAATAATGTCATACAGCACCAGAATTCTGGAGTGAGGTTTATTTGCCACCAGACTGACAAGCGAAACCACACTGGAATTAAAAACAGGAAGTCCCTGGTTATATACCGTCCAGAATCTTCAATGCCTGAGTTCGCCCCCTGCTGGCCTACAGCTGAATTACAGGCATTCAGACAAACAAACCTCAATCTAATGGTTTAAAAACGGTTCACTTATGTGTTGTTATGATTCGGACATGTAGCTACCCTATTAAATTAACACATAATATAACAAACATTATAAAAGTATTATAAAATAAGGAAACCCTAATACTCTGGTGTTGTTTGTAATATCAGTACTAAGCTATAATAACTATAATTTTCTTCAATCTTACTATCCGTCAAACTTATTAGCTGCACATAACCAGAGGAATTAATCTCTTAAAATAAACTTTCTTAACAAAACCAAAAAGATCTTCACTTGAACTCAAAACCCTCAGAAGGGAGCCGGTTCAGATGTTATCATCCATTAAATGGACGTTATTAGCCGTTATCAGTCCCATAGAATGGCTTCAGACTGTCCCGACGGTGCCCCCTAGTGGGTTACCAGTGCCATATACACTGGAATGCAACAATTTATCGTAGCCCATGTCATTTTCTCTAAAATTTACCTTAGTGGCTTTATGCCTCATACTCTCCAGCTGACAGTCTGAAGCCATTCTACGAATCCGAAGCGGGTGTATAAGGGATCCAATCAGGATGTTGTTTTTTCCAACAACAGAATTCCATAAGCGCTTCACCCAGTATTGTCCCCTCTGCAGCATAGAATATAAAAACAAATAAATAATGGAACCCTTTAAATGAGACATATGCTTTTAAATCCTTCTATTTCACATTTAAATCATGCAGTTGTGGAGCTGAACTGCTTTGGTCTGAATTCCTCCATAAGAGTCTGACCCAGAGCGAGAGGAGAATGAAGACTATAAAATTATAGTTTGTCAATCCAGACTTTATTTCGAAGTTCCGACTCAAATAATTTGACGTAATAACTAAACTGATTTATGTCCACTGGTTCCACTCATCTGAGCCGAGTAAATTCAAAGCAGTTTATTCATTTTCTTTCAAAGAAAATGATCTGATATCAGAATCATTACATTAGGCACATGATCTTTTGACTTCCTGTCATTTCCACAACTCTATATGTTTACATTTGATTGTATTATTAAAATCTTACATCTGAAACAGGTTTTATCTGAGCTTTTTATTCATTTTATTCCCTCTCATTTCAATTTTGGTAAATAACTTTTCCGTATATTTATTCCTTACTCTTTATTTAACCTTTGTATCAATCTGTAAATCAAACTGTTTTTAGACAAGTGTGTCACAAAGTTCACATGGTTGGTTTTGTAGGAAAAACTGCAGCTTAAGATAAAATAAAAAATATATATTGTCTTTGTGTTTTGTATGATTCATTTCACCAGTTTATAAATGTGTGAAATGAGGTAGAAAAACAGAGAGATCTGAATGAACGAAAGGTTCAAAAAGGGATTTATAATCTGCAGAAGTGAGGGGCTTTATGTGGTGTTTGTTCTATCTGCTGTGCTTGTAAATGTTTGCTGAGGTCAGTGTCCACTTTAGGTGATGCGACAAGACCAAACAGACTCAAAAGTTCTGCAGATGTTTTTTTACCACCTTCCTTCTCCTGGCTGCTGACAGCTTCTGTCTTTGAGCTGCGTCTGTAGAACAAACTGTGTTTGAAATGTGTTTGTGCAGAACGGAGAGTCTCGGAGGGAGCGCATGGACAGAGGCAACTCTCTGCCGAGCATCCTGGAGCAGAAGGTGAGGAACCTGGTACCAGACCAAGATCCTAGTTTCATTCTGACCCGGGCTCATGATTTACAAAGCAGGTCCAACTCAGCCTGGGTTTCTTTAGGAGAGCTGGTTCTAAACAAGGAATCCTGCCTGAGAGTGGGTTGAGTGGCCATGTGTTGGATGTGTGGACCTTTTATTCAAAAACATAACCTGATCCAGCATAAATTAGAGACTTGGTTTTATTTTCAGAGCTTACGGGTATTTAAACTGAAACTGGACATAATAATTCCTGCAAAATCACTAAAAATTGCTTGATAGTTTTTGTGACATTAGTTTAAAAGAAGAGATCTATTCACTTACTTCACCAATGAACACTACCTCTATATGTTTCAATGAACTGTGTGCATCAATGTTTAGGTGACAATACAACACATGTATGGTACCAGAAGTCTTTTGAGCTGTTTAACAGCAGGAGCCAAAGGAAGCAGTAGGGATGTGGTTTTAGAGATCCACAGTATTATTCCAACCTCAGTCCTAGAAGAGAGGACAGAAAACTGAAAACAGAACAAAAACATAATAGAACTAGATCTGGGAATGCTGTTACAGCTAACCATAATCTGTGTGCGAGTTGAAAAAAATAGTGCAATTTGCTCATTGGGCCTCATGCAAGAACCGTTCATACGCAAAGGTTTGTTCTTAAATTGTGCGTACGAGTGATTTAGGAGAATTTGTGGCATTCACCAATGTTTTCGTATTCTAAGATTTTCTTCAGATACGAACAAAATTCACGAGTGGTCCAGACCTGTCGTATATTTTACCAGCAGTCAGTCTGCTGTTATCCATGAAAAGTTTTCTTCAATAATTTAATAAC